ATTAGGCATAGTATCACAATGCGTTAACTTGCGTTTCCTCTCATATGGAGTTACGTAATTTCTGTGACTTAAGGCTTCTTTCGACATATGACAAGAAACGTATCTTATTGTTAGCATTAGGTAAATTGTTCAGTTTGGCGTAATATTCAAATGCAGCCAAAGTAAGGCAGAATTTCAAAATAATTTACAAGAATATGTTGAGGTAAGAGATTATATTCGAAAAACGTTGAGAATTTATTACCAGAATGAGAAAGTAGCAATTCTGGAAGCTTGAATATAAGTTGTCATTACCGCGTATGGCCATTTCAAAATTTTCTTCAGTTCTAGTTGTCTCTACTTTCAGATTTTTTCCTCATTCACTAAGCACATGTCATTTCGATTACCTTTTGCGAACTTCAATGAGAACTGCTTATGAAAAGTTTTTTAAAAAAATAACCGTATATAGGCAGTCACTAGCGGTCTAATTCTTAGCCCAAACTTGAATAAGTGAAAACAAACCTTACTTTGTGGCTCTACGACTAAGCATGTTACTTTCATCATAAGTTCTACTCCTCTTTCAAACCGTTTCGATAATTTATATCTGGTAGGAAATATGACTGTTTAAAGTTCGTGCTTTTTTTCCTAATTTGAGTCGGTGTTTGAATCAACCAATGTGATGACATGAAGTTATTCGCACTAATTACGTGCATTTCATAAGGATGAAAATAAATATACCTCATGAATAAACGTCAAGGACAAACGTAAAGCATTCATATACTTCGTTTTTTGAAATATTGAAAAATACAGAATTTTCTGCAAATAACGTGCGAAAAGTGGGTACATTTCCCATCTCTCTGCAAAAATCTCTCATACTGAGTGCAAAACAATTACGAGGTACACATGAAATTTTTGTGCGATGTGGATTTGAGGGATCGGCTGGACACCAAGTTGATAATCTGCTACCTTTTAGAGGGGCCTACTCGGTTATTTTGGAGCTATTGAGCAAAACAGCATTCAACATCAAGCAGAGGTAGAACAGAGCATGGAG